TTTTTTTTTTTGCCATTTCTTCAGGAAATTATTTTCTTCTTTGCCATTTTCTTCTTCTTTATTTTTTTGCCATTTTCTTCTTTTCCTTCATTTTTCTTCTTTGCCATTTTCTTCCTTATTTTTCTTCTTTGCCTTTCTTCTTTGAATTATTTTTTCTTTGCCATTTTCTTCCCTCTGTTTTTCTTCTTTGCCATTTTTCTTCAGGAATTATTATTTTTCTTCTTTTGCCATTTTCTTCAGGAATTTTTTTTGCCACTTTTGCCATTTTCTTCACGGAATTATTTTTCTTCTTTTGTTTTTTTCACCAATTTTTTTTCTTTTCTTCCGAATTATTTTTCTTTTCATTTTCTTCTTTAATTATTTTTTTTTTTGCCATTTCTTCATTTTTTTCTTCTTTGTCATTTTTGCTTCTGGGAATTATTTTTTCTTCTTTGCCATTTTCTTCCTTTGTTGAATTATTTTTCTTTGCCATTTTCTTCCTCTTCTTTTTCATTTTTCCTTTGTTTCTTCCTTTTGCCATTCCCTATTATTTTCTTCTTTGCCATTTTTCCCAGGAATTAATTTTTTCTTCAGGGAATTTCTTCTTTTGCCTTTTCTTCTTTGCCTTTTTCTTCTTTGCCATTTTTATTTTCTTCTTTTTTCTTTGGAATTATTTTCTTTTTGCCATTTTCTTCCGTTTTTCCTTTTTGCCTTTTCTTCACGGAATTTTTTCTTTTTTTCATTTTTAGCCTTTTTTTCTTTTTGCCATTTTTCATTTTGCCATTTTTCTTTGTCATTTTCTTCTTTTTTCAATTTTATTTTCCTTTTGCCTTTTCTTCAGGGCCATTTTCTTTTTGCCATTTTTTCACGGAATTATTTTCAGAGATTCTTTTTCTTCTTTGCCATTTTCTTCTTGCCACTTCTTGCCATTATTATTTTTTCTTCTTTTTTTCTTCTTCACCATTTTGCCATTTCTTCACGGAATTTTTTTCTTCTTTGTCATTTTCTTCTTTGCCTTTTTTCTTCCTTTCCTCATTTTTTTCAGGAAATTATTTTTCTTCTTTGAAATTTTTGGATTTTTTTTTCTTTTGCCATTTCTTAAGGAATCTTTTTTCTTCTTTGCCATTTTCTTGCCTCTTATTTCTTCTTCCATTTGCCTTCCATTTTTCTTTTTTGCCATTTTGCCTCCGCCTTATTTTTCTTCTTTGCCATTTTCTTCCAAATTATTTTCTTCTTGCCTTTTTCTTCACTTCTTATTTTTTCTTTGCCATTTTTTCCATTTTTTTCTTCTTTGCCATTTTCTTCCTTTATTTTTTTCTTCTTTGCCATTTTTCAGGAAATTATTTTTCTTCTCTTTTTTTCCTTCTTTGCCTTTTTTTTTGCTTTTTGCCATTTTTCTTTGTTTACATTTTCTTCACGGGAATTATTTTCTTCTTTGCCATTTTCTTCAGGAATTATTTTTTTTTTTGCCATTTTTCTTTTATTTTTTTTTTTGCCATTTTCTTTCAGGAATTTTTTTTTTTTCTTTGCCTCTTTTTCTTTTTGCCATTTTCTTCCTCTCTTTTTTTCTTCTTTGCCATTTTCTTCAGATTTTTGCCTTTTCTTCTTTGCCATTTTCTTCAGGGAATTATTTTTTGCTTCTTTGCCATTTTCTTCACGGAATTATTTTTCTTTTTGCTTCTTTGCCATTTTTTTTCCAGGGAATTATTTTTCTTCTTTTTTGCCATTTTTGCCATTTTCTTCTTTGCCTTCTTTTTTGCCACTTTTTTTTTTCTTTGCCTTTTCTTCTTCATTATTTTTTCTTTTTGCCATTTTCTTCACGGAATTATTTTTTTTTCTTTGTCATTTTCTTCAGAATTATTTTTTTTTTGCCATTTTCTTCACAGATTTTCTTTTCTTTTAGCATTTTCCTTTGTGGGAATTATTTTTCTTTTTTTGCATTTTTTCACGCCTCTTATTTTTCTTCTTTGCCATTTTCTTTACTTTTCTTTTATTCTTTGCCATTTTCTTCTGGAAATTTTTCTTTTTGCCATTTTCTTCTCTTATTTTTCTTTTTTGCATTTTCTTCTTTTTTTTTTTTTTTCCCATTTTTTCCTCTTATTTTTCCTTTTTAGCATTTTCTTCAGGTATTATTTTCTTTGCCATTTTCTTCTTCTTTTTTCTTCTTTGCCATTTTCTTCCTTCTTATTTTTTTCTTTTGCCATTTTCTTCTTTGAAAATTTTTCTTTTTGCCATTTTCTTCTTGGAATTATTTTTTTTCTTTGCCATTTTCTTCTTTTATTTTTTTCTTTTTTGCCATTTCTTCGCCTTCTTCTTTTCTTTTGGAATTTTGCTCTATTTTTTTTTCTTTGCCATTTTTTCTTTTTTTTTCTTCTTTGTCATTTCTTCTTTGGATTATTATTTTTTGCTTCTCTGTTTTTTCCTTATTTTTCCTTCTTTTCATTTTCTTCAAGGAATTATTTTTCTTTTTGCCATTTTCTTTTTATTTTTTCTTCTTTGCCATTTTTCAGGGAAATTTTTTTTTCTTTGCCATTTCTTCTTTGCCATTTTTTTCTTCTTTTTGTCATTTTCTTCTTTGGAATTTTTCTTCTTTTTTTTCTTCTTTATTTTTTCTTTTTGCCATTTTTTCCATTATTTCCCTTTTTGCCTTCCTTTAAATTCTTTTCTTTTGCCATTTCTTCAATTTATTTTCCTTTTTCTTTTTTCTTCTTCTTTATTTTTTTCTTCTTTCTTCAGAATTATTTCTTCTTTGCCATTTTCTTCCGGAATTATTTTTCTTCTTTGCCATTTTCTTCTTCAAATTTTTTTCTTTTTACCATTTTCTTCCTCTCTTTTTTTCTTTGTCATTTCTTCTTTTTATTTTTTTCCTTTCCATTTCTTCTTTTATTTTTTCTTTTTGCCATTTTTTCCGAATTATTTTTCTTTGCCATTTTTCTTCAAGGAATTATGTTTTTTTTTTTTGCCATTTTTGCTTCTGTTTATTTTTTTTTCTTCTTTGCCTTTTTCAGGAAATCTTCTTTCTTCTTTTGCCATTTTCTTCCGGGAATTATTTTTGCCTTTGCCATTTTCTTTTTATTTCCTTCTTTGCCATTTTCTTCTTTATTTTCTTCTTTGCCTTTTTCTTCAGGGAATTATTTTTTTCTTTTATTTTCTTCCATTGTTTCCTCTTATTTTTCTTCTTTGCCATTTTCTTCAGAAATTATTGCCTTTCTTCTTTGCCATTTTCTTTTGCCTTTTTTCTTCTTTGCCACTTCTTCACGGATTATTTTTTCTTCTTTGCCATTTTCTTCTTTTTACTTTTATTTTTCTTCTTTTGCCATTTTCCTTTATTTTTTCTTCTTTGCCATTTCTTCCATTTGTTATTTTTCTTCTTTGCCTTTCTTCTTATTTTTTCTTTTTTGCCATTTCTTCAATTCTTTTTCTTTGCCATTTCTTCAGGTTGCCCTTTTCTTCTTCTTTGCCATTTTCTTCGAAATTATTTTTTCTTCTTTGCCATTTTCTTGGGATTTTTGCTTTTCTTCTTTTAGCCATTTTCTTCGGGAGGAATTATTTTTTCTTCTTTGTCATTTTCTTCACGGAATTTTTTCTTCTTTCTTATTTTTTTCTTTTCTTTTCTTCTTTTTTTCCTTTATTTTTTTTTTTTCTTTTTCTTCGGCCATTTTCTTCCTCTCCATTATTTTTTTTCTTTTGCCATTTTCTTCAGGGAATTATTTTTCTTCTTTTTGCCATTTTCTTCAAATTATTTTTTTCTTTTCATTTTCTTCATTATTTTTCTTTTTGCCATTTTCTTCAGGATTATTTTTTTTTTAGCATTTTCTTCAGGAATTATTTTTCTTCCTTTCCATTTTTATTTTTTTTTGCCATTTTCTTCGAAATTATTTTTCTTTTGCCATTTTCTTCCGGAATAAATTTTCTTCTTTTGTCATTTTCTTCAGGAATTATGTTTTTCTTTTTGCCATTTTCTTGTAGATTTTTCTTCTTTACCATTTTCTTCACGGAATTATTTTTCTTCTTTGCTATTTTTTCACTTTATTTTCTTCTTTGCCATTTTCTTCCGGGAATTATTTTTCTTCTTTGCCATTTTCTTCTGGGAATTATTTTTCTTTTTTGCCATTTTTAATTATTTTTTCTTTGCCATTTTCTTCACGAATTATTTTTTTCTTTTGATTTTCTCCTGGGAATTATTTTTTTTCTTTTTAGCATTTTTTTTTTTTCTTCAGGAATTATTTTTTTTTCTTTTGCTTATTTATTTTTTTTTTAGCATTTTCTTCAGGAATTATTTTTTCTTTGCCATTTTCTTCTTGGAATTATTTTTCTTTTTGCCATTTCTTGTGATTTATTTTTCTTTTTTATTTTCTTCATTATTTTCTTTTTTGCCATTTTTTCCAATTTTTTTTTCTTTTTCATTTCTTCAAGAATTATGTTTTCTTTTTTCCATTTTCTTCAGGAAATTCTTTAATTTTTCTTCCAGGAATTATTTTTTTTCTTCTTTACCATTTTCTTCAGGGAATTATTTTTCTTCAAGGAATTATATTTTCTTTTTGTGCCATTTTCTTCTCGGAATTATTTTTTTTCTTTGCCATTTTCTTCAGGGAATTATTTTTTCTTCTTTGCCATTTTCTTCACGGAATTATTTTTCTTCTTTTCCATTTTCTTCTATATTTAACTCTTTCTTTTACTTTCTTTCTTTTCCATTTTACTTTTTCTTTCTTTATTTCTTTTCGGTTTTCATTCATTGTTTATTTTTTTCTTCCTTAATTTCCTTCATTTTTTAATTTCTCGAATTTTCTTTGATCCACCTTCATTTTTTTTTAAAATTTTAACGATTTTCAGTTTTCTTCCTTACTCTTTGACATTTCATTCTTTATTTCATTATTCTTGCCATTTTTATTTTTTTTTCCTTCTTTGGTATTTTCCTTCCTAATTTATTTTTTTTCTTTTACCACTGTCTTTCTTTCTTTCTTTCCTCATTCTTTGATCATTTTTCATTTCTCCTTCTTTTAATTTCCGTTCCTTCTCTAATGTTCTTCTTTTCTATTCTGCTGTTTTTTCATTCTCGCTTTCTTACTTTCATTCTTTTTTTTCTTTTTCGTTTATTCTTTCATTCGTTTTTTCTTTTTCCCTTCATTCTTTGGTTTCTTTCTTTTTTCATTCTTTCATTCTTTTGTTTTCTTTCTTTTTCATTCTTTCATTCTTTTGTTCTCTTTCTTTTTTCATTCTTTCATTCTTTTTTTTCTTTCTTTTTCATTCTTTCATTCTTTTGTTTTCTTTCTTTTTCATTCTTTCATTCTTTTGTTTTTTTTCTTTTTCATTCTTTCATTCTTTTTTTGTTTCTTTTTCATTCTTTCATTCTTTTGTTTTCTTTCTTTTTCATTCTTTCATTCTTTTTTTCTTTCTTTTTCATTCTTTCATTCTTTTGTTTCTCTTTCTTTTTTCATTCTTTCATTCTTTGTTTTTTTCTTTTTTCATTCTTTTGTTTTTTTGTTTTTCATTTTTCATTTTTTGTTTTTTTCATTCTTTTGTTTTCTTTATTCATTCTTTCATTCCTTTGTTTTCTTTCTTCTTTCATTCTTTTGTTTTCTTTCTTCTTCATTCTTTTATACTTCTATTTTCTTTCATTCTTTTGTTTTCTAACATTTTTGTTTTCGTTTTTCATTCTTTCATTCGTTTGTTTTCTTTCTTCATTCATTCTTTTTTCTTTCATTCTCTTTTTCTTTCTTTTTTCATTCTTTCATTGTTTTCTTTTATTTTTTAGTTCTTTTGATTTCTATCATTCTCTAGTTTTCTTTCTTCTTTTCCTGTTTATTTCCTATTTTTTTTCACATTTTTTATATTTTTTCTTTCTTTCTCTTTCTCGTAATTTTTCTTCTTTTCCCCTCTTTTTCCTTTTCTGTCGTTATTTCTCCTTCCGTCTTTTTTTTTTTCATTTTCTTCCCTTTTTCTTCTTCCAAAAGCACCGTCACCCACCCTCAGCCTCGATACAAATTCAAATGAAGACTTATAGAAGGAGTGAATGAAAGAATTGAAGTTAATGAACACATCTGGGGGAATCGATAGCCGTCTGACTGTATTGAATCGCGTCCCTTCTCCAATCACGCGCGGAAGATGCGAGTAAAAGGTCCATCGGGCATCGAATGTCTGTCAGAATAAAGTGTGTCACTTGATTCATCGACAGAATCGTTCAGCCCCAAAGAAAAACAGAAGTCTTAGAGTCATGACAGAAATCAGTAGAAAAACGATCGAGAGGGAAAGAAAGAATGGAAAAATGAGTGAATGAAAAAAGAAAAAAAGAAAAAGAAAGAAAGAAAGAAAGAAAGCAAAAGTGGAAATGTAGAAAGAAATGAAAATCGTCGAAAAAGTGAAATAAAAAGAAAACAATGGAAATAGACGAAAAGAAAGAAAAGAAAAAAAAAACTGAAAGAGTGGGAAAGAAAGTAAAACGGAAAGAACGAAAAGAACCCCAAAAAGAAAGACAGAAAGAAATACAGTAGAAAAAAAGAAAGGAATAAAATAACTGAATGCGAAGGAAAAGAAAGAAAGAAAGAAAGAAGAAAATATGAGAAGCATAACACGTAAGCAGAGAAAGATATGAAAGACAATGCGAGTTGAAAGAAAGAAAATGACGTGAAGTAATTGAAATAAGAAAGAAAGAAAAAACAAAGAAAAAAGAAAGAAAAAGAAGGAACAGAACTTAAATTAAAAAGAAAGAAAAACAAAGAAAGGGAAGAAACAAAAGGAACTGAAAAGAAAAAGAAAGAAAGAATGAAAAACAATGAAAGGAACGGAATTGAAATAAGAAAGAAAGAAAGAAAGAAAGAAAGAAAGAATTAAAGAATGAAAAGCAATGGAATGAACGGAAGTGAAATGAGAAAGAAAGAAAGAAAGAAAGAAAGAAAGAAAGAAAGAAAGAAAAGGAACGAACGAACGAACGAAAGTGAAATGAAAAAGAAAGAAAGAAAGAAAGAAAAGGAAAGAAAGAAAAAAGGAAGGAACGGAATCGAAATGAAAAAGAAAAAGTAGAGTAACAAACAAAAGGAATTAATGGAGGGAACTGAAATGAACAAGAAAGAAAGAAAGAAAGAAAGAAAGAAAAGAAAGAAAGAAAGAAAGAAAGAAAAGGAGTGTAAGGAAAGCAAGTGGAATGAAAAAGAAAGAAAGAAAGAAAGAAAGAAAGAAAGAAAGAAAGAAAATAAATAGGAATATGAAAACAGAAAATGACGGAGACAATTATAAATGAGAAAGAGAAATGTAGAATGATAAACGAGAAAGAAAGAAAGAAAATTTACAAGCTGACGAGAAAAAAAAAAAAAAAAAGAAATAAAAGTAAAAATTACGGATCCAGAAAGTAAAGAATAAGAAAGGTAGAAAAGAATGAAGAAAATAAAACGAAAGTTTATGAAAAAACTGAAATAAAACAAGAAATAAAAAAGAAAGAAGAGAAAAGACGGAAGATTATGAATAAAAGTCATGAATGAAAGACAAAAGAGTCGAGGAAAAAGTTAAGAGTTTAACAAGAAGGACAACAAAAGAGAAACAAACGAAAGAGAGACTGAAAGAGATTAAAAAAAAAAAAAAAATGGAGAAACTGTTATCAATTGAGAGAACACTTGGCTTAATCTCAAACAATCTTTGCATCGAAAGACTTCACAAGAAATCCTTGAATTACAAATCAGGGTTTTGAAACAGAACCACTTCTGTTGAATTGTTTGTACGGAAAGATTTCCGCGCCAATGATGGCCTCTTCATCTGCGCTGTAAAGGCATAATATTGCGATGGAGAAGAAACAAATTCTAACTGTGTAAATATTATCTGAATATTTTATGCACACAGGCCATATATATATATATATATATATATATATATATATATATATATATATATATATATATATACACATACACATAGATACATACATACTAAAAAGAAGAGAGAATCGGCAAAAGTTTTTGGTTGTAATGTGGATGTTTTTAAAATATAATGCTTTATTTTCCATGATTTTGCTACACGGGTTTCCGGTCTCCCTACCTTCATCAGGCATGGAATTTTCCACATATTATTAAAAATAATTAATTTTTTCCTATGTTTTTAGATGTTAAATATTCTCAGTGTGAGACATTGTCTTTTTTGTGTGTTAGTGAGGAAAATGGCTTTCTTGAACTGGCAGTGAAAACTTCTGCGTGAAGGGTTATAAAACAATGAAGATTGGTCCGGGAAATAGTGAAGAAGTTATCGGCATTCTTATCTTTTAATGACCACTGTGTGTTCTTAGATCTATTTCCATTTTCTTGGTTTTTGCCAGCATGCGTGTATATATGTATTTTCATTCTCCATACATACACACTGTCTTATTACGAGGAATTAGTAAAATATTTGTACACATACACACACACACATATACATACACAAACATGCACACACACACACTCCCTATACTGTGTAGTCTTCACGCGTGTGCCCGTTGTTTTTGCCAATATATATATATATATATATATATATATATATATATATATATATATATATATATATATAATTCCTCTTTACATACACATACCGTTCAATTACAATTAGTATATCTGAATATTTTATGCACACTGTACATATATATATATATATATATATATATATATATATATATATATATATATATTCTATAGCCTTGGTTGGCAACTGGTCTAGGAGAAGGACAACTTTGAATTCAAACCTGACACCGGAATGGTCGAAAAGCAAACGTTCTAACCAGTCTAATACACTCGGACAGATGGTCTATTTATCTATCTCTCGATTTATTTGGATATGTTCTTATCTATCAATCTCTCGATCGATCTCATTATATCTATCTATCTATCTATCTATCTATCTCTCTATCTATCTATCTATCTTAATCTGCTCATTATCTATCACAGTCCCTTTATATCTATCTATCTCAGTCCCTTCATACCTTTCTGTTTTTGTCATCTCTTCTTTCTATTCATATATATATATATATATATATATATATATATAAATTATTTTTTATAAAAAATTATAACATAAGTATGTTATAAAATCACTACAAAAAATAGCTATTTTGTTTCAACACACTCTGTGTCTTATCAAGTGATGATGTTGAAAAAAAAATAAATGGTTTTAAAAAGTTTCAGATTAATTAACGATCCTACACTAGGGGGAAACATTGTTACAAAAGCTAGAATAACCATTCAAAAACAAGTATAGAAAGATTCAAAAGCTTGACAACGAAATCATGCTATAATAGCTTTTCAGATCTTTAAATACGTTTAATATTAAAAATAATTTATACTAACTAATAATTATAAAATTATATGATAAAATTTAATATTAAAATTAAAAACTGGCAATTTTAAAAATCCAAATTTAATCACTATTAAGTTTAAAAACTACAAAATTATTGAGAAAAGAAAAAAATATATATGTATATTCAATTCATTTCTTCATTGAAATTACGTTCGACAAGACGCTACAATATATCCGGTCATTTGACAATACATGTATATATATTTTTTTTTTTCCTTTTCTTTTCCGTTTTTATTTTAAAGTTTGTGAATGTGGTCTTAAACTCACGCGTAAAACAACAAAAACACAATCAGATTATAATATATAAGCACCCAGACATAATTAGATATACACACCCAGACATACACACACACACACACACACACACACACACACACACAAACACACACACTAAAAAAAAAAAAGAAGGTGGGGGGATACATGAACATCTCTACAGCCCTTTATGAAAAAAGGAGACGTGGAAACCAACACTTATACACACACACACAGTTAAATGTGAATACACTCTACATACACATAGACACCGATAGATACATATACATACATCCACAGACAATGACATAGACAATGAGAAATCACAACCAATAAATATTTAAGACTTAAATAAATGCTAACCACTTATTGAATTATAACATAAGGGAGCAAATATACAAAGATAAAAATGGTTAAAATTAATATTATTATTTAATATATTAAAACGAAAATTCTAAAACCATAAATATCAATAAAAATATATATTAATCATATAAGTTGATAATAGTTTCATTATATATTAGGCAAAGAAAAACAGGATAAAGAAACCCACAGATATATACATATATATATATACATATATATAAAAAAAACAAATTAACACACATAAATATACACTCATACATACATATACATACAGAAATACATACAAATAAATATATAAACATAAACATATACGCACATATACATATCTATGATAACAAGTACACATGCACGCACATAGACATATAAACCTAAATACACACACATATATACACACACAGACTTTTATGCACACATACTTACATATATAAAAAACAGTCATGATATACCAAAGTTTCCATACCCACACATACACAGAAACAAACTCATACATAATAGATGCCAACACACACACATATATATACATACACAAACATACATAAATATATATATATAAATATATCTATCTACAATAACAACTACCAATATATACATGCATACATAAAAATACAACAACACTCAACCAAATACATATATAAACGTACTAACATATAGATATATAAATATACCTTCAAATACCAATACACAGCAATATACATATAGCCTAACATACAAATATATAAACACATTCATACAAACAGAAATATACTTAAATATAAATACACATACACAATAAAATAGGACATACAGATATATACATATATACACACACAGATATATATATACACACATACATACACACACACACACACACACATATATATATAAAATATATCGTGGCACAAAGCCGAAATTAGGGGCACCCAGTGAGGAACGAACACATTACTCAGTCGCAACTAATCTAGCGAACCATGCTGGCCAACCATTATACCGCCGTGATTTTTATCATACATATACATATACATATTTATACATATACATACACACACATACATACATATACACACATACATACATATATATATATATATATATATATATATATATATATATATATAACCACACACACATATATATATATATACATACATATATATATTTTTACATATATACATACACACATATATACACACACACACACAATACAAATACATACATATACACACACCCATACACACATACATATATAGGCACACACATACACATATACAGCAACAATTATTAACCTTTTCTCTTATAATCTACCATACCTTCCCACATAATATATATATATACACACACACATATACATATATACACACACACCCACACACACCTCATATATATATATACAAAAAACATAAATACACTTATACACCAACCTACACATTCCTCAGTGCAAATACTCTAACCAACACATAAATAAATATATACACATTTACACCAACACTAATAACACTATGCAGCTAAACAATACACACTTATATCGTAAGTATGACCATCATGCAATAAAAATACTAATCTATTAAAAAACAGCGACATATCATTATCATTTAAAGTATACGACCCCTACACTAAGTTAAATTTATAACGGTGTTTACAATTAACTGTAAGTTCATATCTTTGATTTAAGAGATCAGCTTTGTTTTTAAATCTAATAATTTCAAATTTTTCATTAAGGCATAGGTAACATGGGGTATATAGGGAGTTACATGTACGAGCTTTCTTAACCAAACTCCGTAGGTGTTTTGTTCTTATCTTTTAGATTCCAAAAATACTTGGATAATGAAGTCATGTACCTATATTCACTGTGATTAAAGGATTGCATATGCCCCCGCCAGCGTTCCTTGAATGTTTTCATGGTAGAACCAATGTAAAACTTCTTTATATTTGGATTTTCAATTGTTGAAATAGTACCAAGATAGACTACAGAAGTAATTCCACAGTTAGTTTGTAGTGGACAATTATTCGGATTCCTACAATTACATAAGTTGTTATTTGTATTCTTATAATTAGTATTGCAGTTAGTAACCTGTTGATTAGTCAAGTTTTTGAACTCCTATACTTGTTAAAGACTATGTTGTTATGTTTTTTAATTATCTGCTCCAGGTTATCAGCACAACTATAGCTTAATTTAAGGGTATTAGGATTAAATATTTTACTAAGTGGGTTAGTTTCAGGGTTGGGGAAATGTTTTTGATTAGGTTTAGAAATATACGCCCTAATTTAGTTTTTTAACCATAACATTGAAGGGGGGGTGAACCAAATAATCTTTCTAGATCTTCTTTTCTTATTATGGTTGCAATTAACAGGGTTTTTATATTGAATAGTGGTATTTTGTATC